TAAATCAATAGAATTAAATTTTTTAAGTCTCGTAGTTCAGAAAAAAATCTTTGTACATACTTTTAAGGATACTTACAGTTTCCTGGTATGATGTACTGTAGAACGATTTTCCGTCATTCCTTACCAGTCAACTTTTTTCCATAGCTTTCGAGGCGTTTTCTGAATATATACGAGTTACATTCGTTTTTGACTCGAAAGAAAGTGAGGTTATTCACAATTGCCTGGTTATCAGGCTATGTGGTTATGTGGTTATATTTTTTATTCAGTATACAACAATAAAATACACTACACAATAGTAAATTTTAACCAGATAACCTGATAACCAGGCAAGTATGAACAACCTCAGTGCTTTTTCATTTTACATAAATAAAAAACAAATATTTTAAATTTTAAGTATGTAATATAAGAATATTCTTTTAAAGTCATTATTGAGTTTTTAAGTTTTATGGTTTTAGATTGGGCTTGGTCAATGTGCCCCACACGAAAAGATAGTCCCAACAGCATATATGTATGTATGTAGATTGGCAATAACACAGGATTACACTTTTCAGTGTCAACACGAAGAAATTATGTAAAAATGTTAAGTATGGGGTCGTGGAAAGGAAAATTCTTACAAGTAAAATATGTACATATGTGTGTATGTACGAGGGTAGTTTCATAAGATATTCAGGCAGGTTCTGCAATTCACTTCCGAGTGAATTTCAGCCCCTGCCAATTTGAATTCAAAGCGTATTTGATTGAAATTCACTCGGGAGTGAATTGCAGAACCTGCCCGATTGGCTTTTTAACTTTAAATACAAGCAAACTCCGCCATTTGGTTTGTATTTGACATTTATTAAAAGTAGACAATCTCGTGAATTTCTGCAAAACTGGAAAAAAGTGAATTTCATGCGTTCATTATAACTTGGGCTACGAACTTATTGCAGCATTTTGTCGAAATTTAGCCTCTTTCGACCATTTTCTAATTCCAAACTCGGAGAAATGAGTCGGCAGTAAGAGATTTAGATCCAATAAAAAGCTAATCATTCAAAAAATTTGTGTTTTTAAGGAAACTTATTATTTGTAAGAAATTGAATA